TAATAATAATAATAATAATAATAATAATAATAATAATAATAATAATAATAATAAAGTTGGAAGGGACCTTGGAGGTCATCTAGTCCAACCCCCTGCTCAGGCAGGAAACCCTACACCATTTCGGACAAATGGCTGTCCAGTCTCTTCTTAAAAACTTCCAGTGTTGGAGCATTCACCGCTTCTGGAGGCAGGTTGTTCCGCTGGTTAATTGTTCTAACTGTCAGGAAGGGGTGCAAACTAATCTAAATGCTGGCCCCGCCCATACACTGGAAGCCACTCCTCCCCTTGTTTACACCTGTAGTTTGGATTTTGACTTTTTTTGACCCTCCTGAGGTTGCTCCGGGTTCAAAACCCGCCGACCTCATTTCCCACTGCTTTTCCTCTTTTCCCTTACAGACCCAGATCGTAGGTGAATTTGCTCGCCCAGGTGTCCCTGACTTCAAGGCTGAAAATCCCACCTCGCGTCTCCAGCTTCCGTATCTGCGTGTGCTCTCGGAGCTGACTCCATCTTTCCTGGAGAATCCCGATCTGTAATTTTAGATTATCTTCAGATTTAACTTGCCGGGAAGACAAAATTAAAATGGCTTTGGATGTGTATACACAATAGCCTCGTGTTTCCAGAGACTGGATGTAGACGCACGAGGGGGGTGAACACAGAGTGGACAGCTATTTACTATTAAACAGCTATATACTACTAAAACTCTTGTGTCTGTTTGTAAACTTCAACTGGGCGAAACGGTGCATCGTAGGGGACAATTTTTGAATCGACATGCCTCAAAAGAGCTCGCTTAAAGAAGGCACTCAAAATCTGGGACGCGGGACTCTTGTGGTATTGAATTGTGGCAAAGTTGTGACCGCTTTGGGGCTGTTACACTGCCGTGCTGGTGCAGTGGTAGCAACTTGTTTTCCTGCAGTCTTCCCCATGACTGTTTTTTTGTGGGAAACTGGGAGGCGTGTTGGAAATCACGTGACCACGGCTGACTGCCATGCTGATGCAGTTAGCCGTGTTCACGAGATTTCCAAACACGCCACCCAGTTTCCCACAAAAAAAAACAGTCACTGGGGAAGCCTGCAGGAAAACGAGTGGCTGCCAACCCCAATGTTTTTGGCCTGTTTTCTTTAGGGAAGGAAATCTCTCAGAAACGTTTTGTTTAGGGAAGGAAATCTCTCAGAAACGCTGACCCTATCGGTCACGGGTTGTTTAGCAGAACCCTAGAATCCCAGAATCGGAAGCTTATCTTAGAGGTCATCCAATCCAACCCCCTGCAGAGTAGGATGCTCGGAAACATCGCTAACAAGGCCTATCTAGCTTCTGTTTGAGGAACTTCAGTGAAAGAAATCTCACCACTCTATGTGTCTACTTGTTCCCCTAGCTCAGGAGTCTCCAGTTAAGACTTGTGGATTTCAGCTCCCAGAATTCCCCAGCCAGCCATGCTGGCTGAGGAATTCTGGGAGTTGAAATTCACAAGTCTTAAAGTAGCCAAAGTTGGAGACCCTTGCCTTAGCTGATGGCTCACACCCTTAGGACGTTCCTCCTGATTTCTACGCTTCTACCTCAGAGTTTCTCAACCGTACAACTTTAAGATGGGTGGACTTCAACTCCCAGAATTCTCCAGCCAGCCATGCTGGCTGAGGAATTCTGGGAGTTGAAGTTCACAAGTCGCCAAGGTTGGAGACCTTTGCCTTAGCTCAGAGGTAGGCAACCTAGGCCCTTTTATGACTGGTGGACTTCAACTCCCAGAATTCCTGAGCCAGCCATGCTGAGGGAAAAGGGAGAGGTTTCCAAGCTGAGCTATGCTGGCTCAGGAATTCTGGGAGTTGAAGTCCATGAGTCACAAAAGAGCCGAGGTTGCCTACCTCTGCCTTAGCTGATGGCTCACACCCTTAGGACGTTCCTCCTGATTTCTACGCTGTACCTCAGAGTTTCTCAGCCGTACAACTTTAAGATGGGTGGACTTCAACTCCCAGAATTCCCCAGCCAGCACAGCTGGTTGAATTCACCAGTTGTGGGGAATTCTGGGAGTTGAAGTCCACCCATTTTAAAGTGGCTAAGGTCGAGAAACTCTGCCTCCTTGTGTACAGGACTATAAGTATGCACCCTTTCAAAACCCGGTGCGCAAGGATGCCCAGATTGAAGGTTCAAGGGCCTCTTAACCCTTGTGGAAATCAGAACAAAACAGAAGAGTTGAGCAGAGGGGTGTGTGTGTGTGTGTCGCTGTGGTTGTATAATATGTTGCATTAATATTAAGAAATTCAAGAGCGGAGCAGAGATGTAAATGCATCATATATTATGCATACCGAAAGGCGCGTGATATAGAATTTAATGGCCTCTGTGTGAAGCAGTGGGTGTGAGGCCTGGGCCTTGGCAGAACAAACAGCCTGCCGAAGGAGTGTGAATAGAGTGTGTTTGTTTGCGTGTGTATGTGTGAAAAACGGGTTTTCAAACGTGGGCGAGCTGTGGAATCCGTGAAAACGAGTCCTGAGGTATTTTTCCCGACGGAGAGACGAAATCGGTTGAGTTAACTTTCCGAATTTCTCCCGCCAACAAGTCTCACAAAACCTTAAGGCGGTTTGAAAAAAAATTCTGCAAAGTCACACAATTGCCCAGCTGGAGAAAAAACCAGGGACAGGGATAGCCCAGGGTGAGGCCAGGCAGAAAAAAAAAACCACAGATAGTCCTCGACTTACGACGTTTCGTTTAGTGACCGCTCAAAGTTACAACGGCAGCGAAAAAGGGGACTTGCGACCGTTTTTCACACTCGGAGTGCAGCGTCCCCGTGGTCACGTGATCAAAATTCAGACGCTTGGTCACTGACTCGTATTTATGACGGTGGCAGCGTCCCGGGGTCACGTGATCCCCTTCTGCGACCTTCCGACCAGCAAAACCAATGGAGGGGAAGCCGGATTCACATAATAATAAGTGACTAACTTATCAACTGCAGTGATTTACTTAAGAACGGTGGCAAGAAAGGTCATAAAATGGGGCAAAACCCATCTGACAACTGAACCTCAGAAAAGAACTTCAGCAGCTGGATCCACTGCGAATTTCTCATCTAAATTGATAATTATAAATTAGATGGCAGCTTGTTTTCACTGTTAAATGATGCATATCCCCTTCTGCCTGATTGGAAGAGAATAACTCCACTTTTGATATTAAATTCAGTCAGGTCCAATTCCTTCTTTCCCCATTTATAAAAATGGACTGTAACACTCAACATCACCACTGGAGGGCGCCATCCTACAGGGAATAACTTCTTAGTATAAAATCTAATTTCGCCTGCAGACGCCACTTCCGAACACCAGGGGGCACCATTGATCCTTGCAACTTCAGATCCTTGCACATTTTTTTTAATTTTTAAGTCACTAATAAGATATTAGGAAAATATTCATTTCTACCACTCATATTGTACCTGATAACGTAGCTCAAAGGCACACTTGTTTAGAAAAGGCGTAATAACATGCATGACCTAAATGTGAATTTTGGAAATTGTTTTTCATGTGAAGACGATATCGACATTATTTTATTTTAACAGGGAAAATGTGTTTGATGGTGCTTAAAACACATTTCAAGTCTGAGCAATAGAAATGTGTGGGAAACGAGATTTTTTTGTTGCTATTCAGGTTTATTTCACTGCACTACATTCGTGTTAGGGCCTCTCCAGGCAAAAAGGGTCGTTAAATGGCTACTTTGGCTAAAATGAGTTTTCCAGACTTTCTCACTCTTCATCGTGAAGTGTCTGGAAGAGAGAAGCAGAAAGGGGAAGCGTGAAAAAAAAAATAAACGGAGACAGCAGAAATCAATCACAATTCTTTGCTGCTGTGAAATATACACATATTTTTCTCTGTTGTGGGATCCCCCTAGGAGCGGTGAAGGACCTTCGTTATTATGATTAATATTACCTTGTTGTTTTGCATGAGGGCTTCTGCACTGGAGACAAACTCCTTCTGTGTCTAATCACACTTGGCCAAGAAAGATCTATTCTGTTCTGTTCTATTCTATTCTATTCTATTCTATTCTTCTATTCTATTCTATTCTATTCTATTCTATTCTATTTTTATTTCTATTCTATTCTTATTTCTATTCTACTCTATTCTATTCCTTATTTCTTTTCTATTCTATTCTATTCTATTCTATTCTATTTTTATTTCTATTCTACTCTACTCTACTCCACTCTACTCTACTCTATTCTATTCCTTATTTCTATTCTATTCTATTCTATTCTATTTTTATTTCTATTCTATTCTTATTTCTATTCTATTCTTATTTCTATTCTATTCTTATTTCTATTCTACTCTATTCTATTCCTTATTTCTTTTCTATTCTATTCTATTCTATTCTATTTTTATTTCTATTCTACTCTACTCTACTCCACTCTACTCTACTCTATTCTATTCCTTATTTCTATTCTATTCTATTCTATTCTATTCTATTCTATTTTTATTTCTATTCTATTCTTATTTCTATTCTATTCTTATTTCTATTCTACTCTATTCTATTCCTTATTTCTATTCTATTCTATTCTATTCTATTTTTATTTCTATTCTATTCTTATTTCTATTCTACTCTATTCTATTCTATTCCTTATTTCTTTTCTTTTCTTTTCTTTTCTTTTCTTTTCTATTCTATTCTATTCTATTCTATTCTATTCTACTCTATTCTATTCTATTCTATTATTTTTATTTCTATTCTATTCTATTCTATTCTATTCTATTCTATTCTATTCTATTCTATTCTATTCTATTCTATTCTATTCTTTGTTTTATCCTATCCTATTCTCTTTTCCATTCTGTCTTCTCTTCTGTTCTCTTCCCTTCTCTTCGATTCAGTTCCAGCATGTTAAAGGAAATTTAATTTGGATGAGAGGGATATATTGCCTAGTGTCAATTCCATAGTCAATATTGCCCTGGGTAGCTGTCTGTCCCACGATGTAGACCAAACCAGGAAACTTTTATCACAAAAAAGCTAAAAAGTCTCTCTTTTGCTCTTACCTATCTATCTATCTATCTATCTATCTACCTACCTACCTACCTACCTACCTACCTACCTACCTATCTCCATCCATCCATCCATCCATCCATCCATCCATCCATCTATCTATCTATCTATCTATCTATCTATCTATCCCCGTCTCTGTCTCTCTCTGCTTCTGTCTTTCTCTATAAATATCTATATCTATCATCTATCAACCATCATACGTCAGCTATCATCTCTATATGTCTGTCTGTCCTATCTATCATCCATTTGTCCATTCCATCTATCGCTCTATTTTTTTTTCTCTATATCTCCTCTCCCCCAACTCTATCTACCTGATAGGAGCAAACGGTGAGTAAGTCAAAAACATAAAAACGAGAAAGAGGCCCTTTTCAACCGGTTGCTAATTCTGTCCTTCCTCCTCTTAGCCCGCCCGCCGCCCGCCCCAAAATAAGGACTCACCTTTCCTCCCACGTCACGGGTTTTAGCCTTCAGCTTGTTGACCTGGGACTCAGCGATGTCCGCCCGCTCCTCCGCCTCGTCCAACTCGTGCTGAACCTTCCGGAATTTGGCGAGGTTGGTATTGGCCTGTTCCTCCTGAGAGGGGGAGTAGAAAAGGATTGAGGGACGTTGTTCTTGCTACTCTCTTCGTTTGGAGTCCACTGTCCGGTTGTGGACATGACACTCCAGAAAGGGACAGGAGATCAAGGTCCNGCGATGTCCGCCCGCTCCTCCGCCTCGTCCAACTCGTGCTGAACCTTCCGGAATTTGGCGAGGTTGGTATTGGCCTGTTCCTCCTGAGAGGGGGAGTAGAAAAGGATTGAGGGACGTTGTTCTTGCTACTCTCTTCGTTTGGAGTCCACTGTCCGGTTGTGGACATGACACTCCAGAAAGGGACAGGAGATCAAGGTCCGAAGAGGAAGAACCAGATTGGGGAAGGATCTGGAAATTAAAATCCTGTGAAGGATCAGCTGAAGGATCTCCATATGACTGGCCCACAGAGCACACAACCGAGAAGAGGCACAGGAGCAGTTGTCAGGTAAGAGTAACAGAATTGGAAGGGACCTTAGTGGTCATCTAGTCCAACCCCCTGCTCTCGCAGGAGACCCTCTACCATTTCAGACAAGTGGCTGTCCAGTCTCTTCTTAAAAACCTCCAGTGTTGGGAGCGTTCACAACTTCTGGCGGCAAGCCGTTCCACCGATTTAATTGTTCTGTCAGGAAATTTCTCCTCAGTTCCAGGTTGCTTCTCTCCCTGATTAGTTTCCATCCGTTGCTTCTTCAGGTGCTTTGGAGAATAGCTTGACTCCCTCTTCTTTGGGGCAGCCCCTGAGAGATTGGAAGGCCGCCATCATGTCACCCCCCTACGTCCTTCTTTTCACTAGACAAGGTATCTCCGGTTCCTGCAATCGTTCTTCGTATGTTTTGGCTTCTAGGCCCCTGATCATTTTGGCTACGATCCGTAACCTCGTTTGCGTAGTATCCCAGTTGCAACTCACCAAGGTTGTAAAGTGGCTTGTGGCATCCCCAGAATTGATTTTTACGGCCTTTCTTTCATCGTTAAGATGAGGTATTTCTTAATTTATTTATTTATTTTTTAATGATTTTAAAACAAAATTAGTTAGTCTGCAAAGATGCTAGCGGACTCCTTTCCAGAAACGAACACGGATTTTTTTCCAACTTTGGAGAATACATTCCAACAAATGAGGTGTAGCTACGACACAGGCAGTTTTTTTGACTTATGATCACAATTGGGGCCGAAAAAATTCGGTTGTTAAGTGAGACATTTGTTAAGTGAATTTTGACCCCATTTGACCCCCTTTCTTCCCACGGTTGTTAAGTGAATCGCCGCAGTTATTAAGTTAGTCACCCGGTCGTTAAGTGAATCTGGCTTTCTCCCACTGACTTTGTTGTCAGAAGGTCGCAAAAGGGGATCACATAACCCCGGGACACTGCAACTGTCGTAAGTACATGCCAGTTGCCAAGCATCTGAATTCTGGTCACGTGATCATGGGAGAGGCTGCAACGGTCGTAAGTGTGGAAAAACGGTCCGAAGTGACTTTTCTCAGTCCTGCTGTAACTTCGAACGGCCACTGAATAAACGGTTGTAAGTTGAGGACTAGGTGTAAAAGGAACAATTCTTTTCTCGTTTACTCTGTCCCATAGTTAGAACAATTAACCAGTGGAACCACCTGCCTCCAGAAGTGGTGAATGCTCCAACACTGGAAGTTTTTAAGAAGAGACTGGACAGCCATTTGTCCGAAATGATATAGAGTTACCTGCCTGAGCAGAGGGTTGGACTTGATGACCTCCAAGGTCCCTTCTGAGTCTGTTATTGACAAAAGGAAGGAAGGAAGGAAGGAAGGAAGGAAGGAAGGAAGGAAGGAAGGAAGGAACCTTCCTTCCTTCCTTCCTTCCTTCCTTCTTTCCTTCCTCCCTCCCTCCCTCCCTCCCTCCCTTCTCCAATACTGAAAGTTTTTAAGAAGAGATTGGACAGCCATTTGTCTGAAATGGTATAGGCTTTCCTGGCTGAGCAGGGGGTTGGACTAGATGACCTCCAAGGTCCCTTCCAACATCATCATCATCATCATTATTATTATTACTACTATATTACTACTACTACTACTACTACTACTACTACTACTATTATTATTATTATTATTATTATTATTATTATTATTATTATTATTATTATTATTATTATTATTATTATTATTATTATTATTATTATTATTATTATTATTACTGTTATCCTCCGTGGTTTCAGCCTAAGGTCATCCAGGGCTTAAGAGATCTTGCCAAGCTGTTTAAAAGTCTGGCAAAAGCTTTAAGATGGACCGAAATCTCAGCATTAGGCTAAGCAGTTTGACTAAAGTGAGAAAGCCTTCAGCACCAACAGAATACAGGCAGTCCTCGGTCTTATGACCACGACGGAGCCCAAAATTTATGTTGTTAAGCGAGGCCGTGGTTAAGCAAGCTTTGTCCCATTTGACGCCCCCTCTTGCCCATGTTGTTCACTTGTTAAGTTAGTCACATGGCTGCTAAGTGAATCTGGAGTCCCCCGCGGACTTTGCTCAGCAAAAGGTCGCAAAAAGGGGGATCGCGGGACGCTGTAACCGTCGTAAGTACATGCCAGTTTCCAAGCGTCCGAATTTGGGATGAGGTGACCGTGGGGATGCTGCAACGGCCGTGGGAAAGGCGGCCCTCAGTCGCTTTTTTCCAGCGGCTTCAACGGTCACTAAACGAATCGTTGTAAGTCGAGGACTGGCTGGAAGGGACCCAAGCTTAGGAACTCACCGCTTCTTCGGCTTGTCTTTTATAAGCTTTCACCTTCATCTGCAACTTGTCCACCAGGTCTTGGAGTCTCAGCAAGTTCTTCTTGTCCTCTTCGGTCTGCCAAAGAAAAAAAAAAGGAGAAAGGATGGGTGGAGGGATGGATGGAGGTCAGGACCATCATTAACCACGCACATCTCCCCTTCTCTAGGAGATCATGGTTTTCGCTGGATGTCTGAATCGTGTCACCCACGGGGTACTTTCAAAGGGCCATCAAAATGATCAAGCTGAAACTGGTTTACGAAAAAAGGAAAAAAAAACCTGGATTTGTGGGGGTCCTTGAGATGCTTTCTGAGCTGGGGGGTTTTCTTGCAGACGTTTCATGACCCAACTAGGGAACATCATCAGTGCTAGAAAGGAGGGGGGGATTGTGGAGACAGGAGGAGGAGGAGGAGGAGGAGGAGGACTGTGGTGTCCTTGGTGCTCTCTGAGTTGGGTGGTTTTCTTGCAGACGTTTCATGACCCAACCAGGTAACATCATCAGTGCTAGAAGGGAGGGGGATTGTGGAGACAGCAGGAGGAGGAGGAGGAGGACAACTGTGGGGTCTTTGGTGCTCTCTGAGCTTAGTGGTTTTCTTGCAAATGTTTCATGACCCAACTAGGTAACATCATCAGTGCTAGAAGGGAGTGAGGTTTGTGGGTAGAGGATAAAGGGAGGAAGAGGAGGAGGAGGAGGAAGAGCAAAAGGTGGTGGTGGTGGTGGTGGAGGGTTTAAGGAGGAGGAGGAGAGGAAGGGGAAGAAGAGAAGGAGGAGAGGAGGAGGAGAAGGAAGAGGAGGAGGACTCTAGGGAACCTTGGTGAACTTGGTGGTTTTCTTGCAGACGTGTCATGACCCAACTAGGGAACATCATCAGTGCTAGAAGGAAGAGGGGTTTGTGGAGTAGAGGAGAAGGAGGAGGAGGGGAGGGGGAGGAAATGGAAGAGGTCATCGGTGCTTTCTGAGCTCCTCACCTGGTAGGTGAGCTCCTTGATGCGTCTCTCGCACTTGCGCATGCCCTTGACGTTCTCCACGTTGCGTTTCTGCTCCCCTTCCAGCTCGTTCTCCAGCTCCCGCACTCGGGCCTCCAGTTTCTGAAGCTGCTTCTTGCCGCCCTTCAGGGCCAGCTGCTCCGCCTCGTCCAGGCGCATCTGGAGGTCCTTGATGGTCTGCTCCATGTTCTTCTTCATCCTCTCCAGGTGGGCGCTGGTGTCCTGCTCCTTCTTCAGCTCCTCCGCCATCATGGCCGCCTGCCCCATTCAAGGGAGAAAGACGTCCGTCGGACCTTACTCTTGGCGTTAATGGGGAAGTTAGTCCTAAACTCACGGGCTAATAATTCATGTCAACATTACGGGTCTTCTTTTGACCCAGGATGCCTCTGGTGGACCAAAGCAAAGGGGAACATGGAGATGAGTCTCATTTCACATAATTGTGAAATGTCCATATTCTAGGCCAGGGGTAGGCCACCTTGGCTCTTTTATGACTCGTGGACTTCAACTCCCAGAATTCCTGAGCCAGCATGAGGGAAACTTTGGCTTCTTCATGACTTGTGGACTTCAACTCCCAGAATTCCTGAGCCAGCATGGGGGAACTATGGCCCCTTCATGACTTGTGGACTTCAGCTCCCAGAATTCCTGAGCCCGCATGGCTCAGCTTGGAAACCTCTCCCTTTCCCCTCAGCATGGCTGGCTCAGGAATTCTGGGAGTTGAAGTCCACAAGACATAAAAGAGCCAAGGTGGCCTACCCCTGTTCTAGACCTATAATTGTAATTAAGGCTAGAATTACAGTCATAAGTCACTGGTCGTTAAGAGAGCCGAGGGGTCCTTGGTGCTCTCTGAGCTGGGTGGTTTTCTTGCGGACGTTTCATTACCCTAACTAGATAACATCATCGGACAGACAGGCAAGACATCAGAATGTAAACTGACAGCAAACAGCACTCCATGCTAGCACTGATGATGTTACCTAGTTGGGTCATGAAACGTCCGCAAGGAAACCACCCAGCTCAGAGTACGCCAAAGACCCCTCATTTCAACCTACAACTATTTTCCTTCATTGATAGTGAGTCATTATATTCCCAAAAGAAGGAGAGAAGGTAGAAGAATTTTTCTTGGAGGGCCTGGTGACCCTCCATGTAGATCAGGGGTCTCCAAACTTGACAACTTTAAGACTTGTGGACTTCAACTCCCAGAATTGCCCAGCCAGCCATGGAAGTTCTGGAAGTTGAAGCCCACAAGTCTTAAAGTTGCCAAGCTTTGGAGACCTCTGATTACTTAATGCGAGAAAGAGTCAAATTGTCATTATGGACCATTCGTGGTCAACCCCCGTCCGTGATTTCGCTCTCACGCACATCCGTGATGGCTTTCTTGGCCTTCTCCTCAGCGTTTCTGCATTCCTGCACAGCTTCTTCCACTTCTGACTGAAGCTGGGTCAGATCAGTCTCCATCTTCTTCTTTTGATTGATGAGGCTGGTGTTCTGGAGAAAAATGGCAATCTCAATTAGTGAGTCAAACCACAACAGGAGAAATAAAAGAAGATCAACTGACAGGTCCAAACAATTGGTGTCTTCATGTAGTATGGGACCTATGAAGGTCAAAGTTTGCTTGAAACCACCCAGAACCTATTTTATTCCCTCAGAATCTACATTCGGAGCCTATTTTATTCCCTCAGAACCTACATCTGGAACCTACTTTATTCCCTCAGAATCTACATCCAGAACCTACTTTATGCCCTCAGAAGCTAGATCCGGAACCTATTTTGTTTCTTTGGAACCTACATCCGGAACCTATTTTATTCCCTCAGATCCTGTATCCGGAACCTACTTTATTCCCTCAGAACCTGTATCCGGAACCTACTTTATTCCCTCAGAACCTGCATACAGAACCTACTTTATTCCCTCAGAACCTGCATATGGAACCTACATTATTCCCTCAGAACCTGCATCCAGAACCTTCTTTATTCCCTCAGAACCTACATCCAGAACCTATTTTATTCCCTCAGAACCTGCATCCAGAACCTTCTTTATTCCCTCAGAACCTACATCTGGAACCTACTTTATTCCCTCAGAACATGTATCTGGAACCTACTTTATTCCCTCAGAATCTACATCCGAAACTTACTTTATTCCCTCAGACCCAGTGGTGGGATTCAGCTGGTTCGCACCAGTTCGGCAGAACCGGTAGCTAACTTTTTTGTTGCCCAGGCCCAGAAGCGGCATCCACACAGAGAACCGGTTGTTCACATATTTGAATCCCACCACTGCTCAAACCTGCATCCAGAACCTACTTTATTCCCTCAGAACCTGCATCTGGAACTTTCTTTATTCCCTCAGAACCTGCATTTGCAACTTATTTTATTCCCTCTGAGCCTTCATTTGGAACCTATTTTATTCCCTCAGAACTTGTATACAAAACCTACTTTATTCCCTCAGAACCTGCATCTGAAATCTATTCCCTCAGAACCTATGTCCAGAACCTGGAGTTAGAGTCCACTCATCTTAAAGTTGCCAAGGTTGAGAAGCACTGCTCCAGTGATCAGCCAATGTGAATCTTTTCCTAAAACTTTCCCTCCTGTCTATGTTTAAAGCACCCTTCACCATCTGTGGTTGTCTGAACAGGCTCTGGATCACTTCTCCAAGGTCACCTCTGTGGCTCCTACAGAACGAGACTCAAAGAAACATGAGAAGGATCAGATGCTCTCCCTTCACCTGAGAATGGAGGAGCTGGACCCTCTCACTGGCCTCCGTCAGCTCCTGTTCCGCCAGTTTCCGCCCACGCTCCGTCTGCTCCAATACGCAGCGTAGCTCTTCCAGCTCAGCCTGCAGCAGTGTATTGCGCCTCTCCACAATGGCGATGTTCTCCTTCAGGTCCTCATTGGCTCGAAGGGCATCGTCCAGTTGAATCTGATTGTCCTGGGCCATTCAAAAAACATAGCCTGAAGCAAACATTGAGCCCAGAAAACTATGGATGAGCAAGGAAGATATAAAGGTCTCCATATCTCCTTACCTTGAGGTGGGCGTGAGCGATCTTGAGGTGCTTCTGAACCTCAGCAGCCACCCGGTTCGCTTGGCTAAGCTGGATCTCCATGTCGTTGAGGTCGCCCTCCATCTTCTTCTTGATCCTCAGGGCCTCATTGCGGCTGCGGGTCTCGGCATCCAGGGAAGCTTGAAGCGAGTCCACCGTCCTCAGGTGATTCCGCTTGGCCTGCTCCATCTCCTCATCCTTCTCGGCCAACTTGCGCTCAATTTCGGCCTTGATTTGGTTGAACTCCAGCTGGGCCCGGAGGATCTTCCCTTCCTCATGTTCCAAAGATGCCTGGGGAGTCAAAGAATTATGGGTATCAATCAAATAATCAATCTTTCTTATCGTCACAGATCAACAAAGAATTATGGGGAAAATGATGAAGGAGAAAGGAGAAAAAAAATAATACTGAGATCTGGAAGCTTTCTTAGTTCTAGAATGGTTCTCTTTAGCTCTTTTGTACCTTTAATTAAATGCCTCCTGCTCCAGATTCTGTTGTTCTGTTTAGCTCTTTTGCGCCTTTAATTAAATGCCTCCTGCTCCAGATTCTGTTCTGTTCTGTTTAGCTCTTTTGCGCCTTTAATTAAATGCCTCCTGCTCCAGATTCTGTTCTGTTTAGCTCTTTTGTACCTTTAATTAAATGCCTCCTGCTCCAGATTGTTCTGTTTAGCTCTTTTGCGCCTTTAATTAAATGCCTCCTGCTCCAGATTCTGTTCTGTTTAGCTCTGTTGTACCTTTAATTAAATGCTTCCTGCTCCAGATTGTTCTGTTCTGTTTAGCTCTTTTGTACCTTTAATTAAACGCCTCCTGCTCCAGATTCTGTTTTGTTTAGCTCTTTTGTGCCTTTAATTAAATGCCCCCTGCTCCAGATACTGTTCTGTTTAGCTCTTTTGTGTCTTTAATTTAAACAATTCTTGTTGAGGGTAGGTGAATTCGGTGAGTAAAGCTTCTTCTCTGTCTCTGTTCCCATCTGGGAAGGGACGCTTAACTACCACTTCAGATGCTTTTAAGTGGCTTTTATAGTGAAATAGGAGAGAAATAAGAAAGGGGGGGAAAACCATGGAGTTTGAGGGAAGGGGAAACAGGGAACCTCACCTCTGCCTCCTCCAGCGCTGCTTGTAAGTCCACTTTCTCGGACTCCAGCTGCTTCCTCACTTTTTCCAACTCGTGCATGCTTTTGGCTCCATGGCTCAGCTGCTCGGTGAGATCCGAAATCTCCTCTGTGGATGGAGGAGGAGAAGAAGGAGATGTGAGAGGAGGACACGGAAAAGAGTGTCCCTCAACATCCGGGCGCCACCAGGCAAGGGGTTTTTGCTGGGCCAACCTCTTCCCCCGCAGCTCAACCCACCTTGTAAGTTCTTGTTCTCTCTTCTTAAAGTCTCCAGGTGTTCCAGAGACTCCTCGTAGGCGTTCTTCAGCTTGAAGAGCTCCGTGCTGAGGGACCGGGACTCCTTCTGGGATGCCTCCAGCTCTGCCTGAGATTCTTCATTCTTCTGCTTCCATTCCGAGAGGATCTGAGGGGGAGCAGAGGAGGAGGAAGGCAGAAAGAGTCGGTCTCTTCTTTTCCTTTCATCCCATTTCCTTCTCCTTCTTCCCCTTTTCCTTCCCCATCTCCTTTCCCTTCCTCCTCCTCCTTTTCCTCCTCCTCCTCCCTCTCTTCTTCCTCCTCTCCTCTCCTTTCTTCCTCCTTCTCCTTTTCCCTTTCTCCTTCTCCCCCTCTCCTCCTCCTTCTCCCCTTCCACTTCCCCTCCTCTTTCTTCTCTTCTCCTTCTCTTCCTCCTCCTTCTCCTCTTCCTTTCATCTCCTCTTCCTCTTCCCTTTCTCTTACCCTTCTTCTTCTCTCCTCCCCCTTCTCCTCCTCCTCCCCTTCCCCTCTTCTCCTCTTTTCCTCCTCCTTCTCCTCCCCTTCTCATTTCATCATCCTTCTCCCCTTTCCCCTTCCTCTCTTCCTTCCTCTCCTCCTCCCCCCCCTACAAATACAGGCAGTCCTCAACCTACGACAGTAATTTCTGCTGTGCTTAGCGACAGCAATCCCTGAAGCCCTGGTTGTCATTGTTCACTGAATCCCACCAATAATAGACGAGGCAACTTTCCCGGTGGCTTCCCACAAGCAGGAAATACCTGGTCCCGGGCCCCACAGACAGGTGTAATGCCTCCAGCTGAACTGGAGCAGCCTCTCCTGTGGGTCTCTGTGACCCTCACCTTGTCGAAGTTCCTTTGCTTCTTGTCCAGGGCAGCTGCGGCCGCGTTCGAGCGCTCCGCGTCCACCATGAGATCTTCGATCTCGTTCTGCAGGCGGTGTTTGGTCTTCTCCAGCGAGGAGCACTTGGCGTTCACCGCCTCCACCGCTTCCTCGGCCTCCTGCAGCCTCTGGGCCAGCTTCTTCCTGGCACGGGAGGACAACCGAGAGAAGATTAGCCCCGGAAGACGCCTTCTCCTTTCCACAGCTGATGTGGAAAGCAACTCTCCCATCCTTCTCTGGGTGAAGAACACCACGAGTGGCCAGCCAACTCCACCTGACCATCTTGTGCTCTGCAACAGGGTTGTCAATAACAGAATAAGAGAATCATAGAACTGGAAGGGACCTTGGAGGACTTCATGTCCAACCCCCTGCTCAAGCAGGAGACCCTAGACCAGGGGTAGGCAACCTTGGCTCTTTTATGACTCGTGGACTTCAACTCCCAGAATTCCTGAGCCAGCCATGCTGAGGGGAAAGGGAGAGGTTTCCAAGCTGAGCCATGTTGCCTCAGGAATTCTGGGAGTTGAAGTCCATGAGTCATGAAGGGGCCATAGTTTCCCCCATGCTGGCTCAGGAATTCTGGGAGTTGAAGTCCAGGAGTCATAAAAGAGCCGAGGTGGCCTGCCCCTGCCCTATACCATTCCAGACAAGTGGCCGTCCAGTCTCTTTTTCTGGGAGGGCTTGTCAACTCCGTATTCTAGTTTACATCTCCTGGTGGTCTCCCATCCAAGCCCTGGCCCTGCTTACTTTCCAAGGGCAGACCAGCTGCTTACCATTAAAGTAAGAGACAGAATAACAGGACCTTGGAGATATTATAGTCCAGGAGTAGGCAACCTTGGCTCTTTTATGACTCGTGGACTTCAACTCCCAGCATGGCTCAGCTTGGAAACCTCTCCCTTTCCCCTCAGCATGGCTGGCTCAGGAATTCTGGGAATTGAAGTCCACGAGTCATAAAAGAGCCAAGGTTGCCTACCCCTGTTCTAGTCCATCCCCTTGCTCCAGCAGGAAACCCTAGTATTGGAGCACCCACCACCTCTGGTGGCAAGCAGTTCCACTGCTTAATTGTCCTCACTAGTAGGAAGTTTCTCCTTAATTCCAGGTTGCTTCTCTCCTTGATGAGTTTCCATCCGTTGCTTCGTGTCTTGCCTTCCGGTGCTTTGGAAAATAAGTTGACCCCCCCTCTTTCTTTGTGGCAGCCCCTCAAATATGGGAACTCTGCTATCCTGTCGCTGTCCTGGTCCTTCTATTCACTAGAGTAGCCATGTCGGATTCCTGCAACCGTTCTTCACATGTTTTATGAAGCCCCCTAATCATCTTTCTTGCTCTTCTCGGCCCTCTTTCCAGATTCTCAACATCTTTTGGTGGAATCTTAAGGTGGAAACTGCAAGGACGGGAGTCCTAATTTGGGGGGGGGGGTCACATATTCAAACCTCACTCCGTAAGTCACCGAAAAGTTTCTGGTCCTCAAAACCAGGACATCCCCCCCCCCCAGCATAACCATCCCTACCCACCTACCTTGGGTTTTTGTTTTTGTTTTTTTTTAAATGGGGAAATCTCCTCCAACCAACAAGCTTTTTGCTCGTCTTATACGCCGTCAAGTTCAAATATAACCTGAGCCAAAAGCTTCTTCATTAGAGGAAGCGTCGGTGAAAGGAGATGGCCGAGGTCTTGAGGGGAGGGGTGGAGAAGACATAGGAAGGGAGGGGAAACGTAGTACGGGGTGCACGTTTAGGAGGGAGGAAGATATGGAGGTCAGAAGCTCTGAACAGGTCCCAGATGAGGGTTGCGAGGCCTGTTAGGCTCAAATCTCCTTCCTCAATTGGTAGACATCATCCTGGAGATGTTCTCAGAACACACGGTAGTCCACGTAGGAAAGGCTGCCATTGCTAAGCACTTCCAAAATGATTTTGGAGTAGTAGGTAGTTCTAGACTTACAACCCCTTTGTTTAATGGCCATTTGAAGTTAGGGCTTTGTTGACAAAAAAAAATTGACGGACAGCTGGTCTTCCCACCAGGTCACGTGATCAAAATTCGGGCGCTTGATGGCAACTGGCATGTATTTGTGACCGTTGTACTCTCCCGGGATTACCGGATCACCATTAATAATAATAATAATAATAATAATAATAATAATAATAATAATAATAATAATAATAATAATAATAATAGTAGTAGTAGTAGTAGTAGTAGTAGTAGTAGTAGTAGTAGTAAAGTTGGAAGGGACCTTGGAGGTCATCTAGTCCAACCCCCTGCTCAGGCAGGTAACTCTATACCATTTCGGACAAATGGCCGTCCAGTCTCTTCTTAAAAACCTCCAGTGTGGGAGCATTCACCGCTTCTGGAGGCAGGTAGTTCCACTGGTTAATTGTTCTAACTGTCAGGAAGTTTCTCCTTAGTTCTAGGTTGCTTTTTTTCTTTGGTTAATTTCCATCTGTTGCTTCTTGTCCTGCCTTCTGGTGCTTTGGAGAATAGCTTGACTCCCTCTTCTTTGGGGCAGCCCCTGAGATATTGGAACCCTGCTATCATGTTCCCCCCTCGTCCTTCTCTTCATTAAACTAGACATACCCAATTCCAGCAACCGTTCCTTATATGTTTTAGCCTCCAGTCCCCTAATCATCTTTGTTGCTCTTCTCTGTACTCTTTCTAGAGTTTCAGCATCTTATTTACATCGCGGTGACCAAAACTGGATGCCGTATTCCAAGTGTGGCCTTACCAAGGCCTTGTAAAGTGGTATTAACACTTCACGTGATCTTGATTCTATCCCTCTGTTAATGCAGCCCAGCACTGTGTTGGCTTTTTTGGCAGCTGCAGCACACGGCTGGCTCCTATTTAGGTGATTGTCCACTAGGACTCCGAGGTCCCTCTCATAGTTACTACTATTGAGCAAGGTACCCCCTATACTATACCTGTACATTTGGTTTTTCTTGCCTAAATGTAGAACCTTACTTTTTTCACCCTTGAATTTCATTTTGTTAGATAGCATCCAGTGTTCGAGTCTGTCCAGATCGTCCTGTATCCTAAGCCTGTCTTCTGGAGTGTTGGCTATTCCTTCCAGCTTGGTGTCGTCTGCAAATTTGATGAGTTCCCCATCTATCCCCTCGTCCAAATCGTTGATATAGATGTTGAAGAGCACTGGGCCCAGAACAGAGCCCTGGGGCACCCCACTACACTACATTTGCGACCTTCCCAGCGGTGTCTGACAAGCAAATGGAGGAATGGGGGGGGGGAGGAAGCTGGATTCGCTTAATGACGTGATAATGGTCATAAAGTAAGGCACAACGCACTTAACATCTCAATGAGCAATGCGAGTTGTAAGTCGGGGACTGCCTGCCTACTCCAAGGAAAGGTGTCTTCAAGCATGAACACCACCTCAGAAGTCAGGCCTGCGGTGGTGGTGATCTATCTACCTTGTCCATGGTGAAGGTCAGGATGTGACCTCTCGAATTCATCTAGCTCAGGGCTTTTCAACCTTTTCACCCACTGTATCACTTTTAGGAGATGGCAACATCCGAGTACCACCAGTCGCCTAGCAAGGTGTCAAAAACTTGATGACCCCCCCCAAAAAAAGGAAAAAGAAAAAAGTGATAAAGTACAGGTAGTCCTCGACTTACAACAGTGCGCTTAGTGACTGTTCGAAGTTACAATGGCACTGAAAAAAGTGCCCCCCAAGCCACAGCCGAGCAAGACACCTGCCTGCCCGCCCGGCGGCGCTCTTCCTCCTGTCCGAGGTTTTCATTGTTATGAGCATTTCTGTTGAGGATTGGCAGCGGGGGTGGGGTGGGGGGTTGGTTTTTATTTCCCCCCCTCTGCTGGGTGGTTGCAGCAGGTTTTGGTCACTTCACATGACCCTGGGACACTGTGACCGTCATAAATATGAATCAGTTGCCAAGCCTCTGAATGTAAATCACAAGACCCTGGAGATGCTGCAACATTCCAGCTGATTGGTGCTTCTTCAGGGCTCAGCAGAAGTGCCAGGATCAGTGCTGAGCTCCAGCTGGAGCCTGGCACTGATCCTGGTGCTTCCGCTGAGCCCTGAGAGCCCTGCAGCTCCAGCCATCTCTCGCTCAGGCTTGTGCGGTGCTGCCACCGGTTCAGCTCATTCCCCTCCCCCACTACCACTTTTCTAGGATGGTCGCGTACCACCTGCCAGGTGCCAATGTACCACAGGTGGTATCCGTACCACTGGTTGAAAAGCCCTGGTCTAGCTCACTTACTTGGCCTCCTCCAGCTCCTCCGTTCTCTGTATGGCGTCGGTTTCATACTTGGTTCTCCACTGGGCCACCTCCGAGTTGGCCTTGGAGAGGACCCGCTGAAGCTCAGCTTTGGCTTCCATCTCCTCCTCGTACTGTTCCCTCAGAAGATCGCAGTCGTGGCGGGAGGACTGCAGAGCGTGCGCTAGAGCATTTTTGGCCTAGGTCAGCGAGGAACACGGGTAAATGTGGAGGGCGTCCACCTCCCAACCCAAACCCAAACCCTTCCCAACCGACGTTCCTTCACCTTGGTCTCCTCTTCCAGTTGTCGCTTGAGGTCCTCCATCTGCTGGGTGTAGGACTGTTTCCCGCGGGTCAGCTGGGAGACGAGGGCCTCTTTCTCTTCAAGCTGTCGAGCGAGTTCTCCTGAGGACAGGAAAAAGGGGAACGTTGAGTCCCAGCAGCTACTGGGTGGACCTCACAAAGAGGTGTAGGAAAACAAGAGGGAGACCCAAAGGTGCTTTTTCAGAAGGCAACTGGACTTCCTTTGTTTTTCCTTGAAGATATAGGTATAGTATAGGGGGTACCTTGCTCAATAGTAGTAATTGTGAGAGGAATCTCGGAGTCCTAGTGGACAATCCCTTAAATAAGAGCCAGCCGTGTGCTGCAGCTGCCCAAAAAGGCAAACACAGTGCTGGGCTGCATTAACAGAGGGTCAGAATCAAGATCAGGTGAAGTGTTAATACCACTTTACAAGGCCTTGGTAAGGCCACACTTGGAATACTGCATCCAGTTTTGGTCACCACGATGTAAAAAAGATGTTGAGACTCTAGAAAGAGTACAGAGAAGAGCAACTAAGATGATTAGGGGACTGGAGGCTAAAGCATATAAGGAAAGGCTGCTGGAATTCGGTATGTCTAGTTTAACGAAGAGAAGGACGAGGGGGGACAGGATAGCAGTCTTCCAGTATCTCAGGGGCTGCCACAAAGAAGAGGGAGTCAAGCTATTTTCCAAAGCGCCTGAAGGCAGGACAAGAAGCAACGCGTGGAAACTAACGAAAGAAAGAAGCAACCTAGAACTAAGGAGAAACTTCCTGACAGTTAGAACAATTAACCAGTGGAACAACCTGCCTCCAGAAGCGGTGAATGCGCCAACACTGGAAGTTTTTAAGAAGAGACTGGACAGCCATTTGTCTGAAATGGGATAGGGTTTCCTGCCTGAGCAGGGGGTTGGACTAGATCAGGGCTTTTCAACCTTTTCACCCATTGTACCACTTTTAGGATATGGCAATATCCGAGTACCACCCGTCACCTAGCAAGGTGTCAAAAACTTGATGATCAAAAAAATAGGAAAGAAGTGATGAAGTACAGGTAGTCCTTGACTTACAACAGTGCGCTTAGTGACTGTTCGAAGTTACAATGGCACTGAAAAAAGTGCCCCCCAAGCCACAGCCGAGCAAGACACCTGCCTGCCCACCCGCCCGCGCTCTTCCTCCTGTCCGAGGTTTTCATTGTGAGCATTTCTGTTTGAGGATTGGCAGCGGGGGCTGTTTGGGTTTTATTCCCCCCGTCTGCTGGGTGGTTGCAGCAGGTTTGGTCACTTCACATGACCCTGGAACACTGTGACCGTCATAAATATGAATCAGTTGCCAAGCATCTGAATGTAAATCACAAGACCCTGGAAATGCTGCAACATTCCAGCTGATTGGTGCTTCTTCAGGGCTCAGCAGAAGCGCCAGGATCAGCGCCGAGCTCCAGCTGGAACCTGGCGCTGATCCTGGCGCTTCCGCTGAGCCCTGACAATCAGCTGGAAAGCGGCACTGGAAAGTGGCACTTCTGCTGATCAGCTGGAAAGCGGCACTGGAAAGCGGCACTGATCCTGGCACTTCCGCTGATCCCTGACAACCCTGCAGCTCCAGCCATCTCTCGCTCAGGCTTGTGCGGTGCTGCCACCTGTTCAGCTCATTCCCCCCCCGCTACCACTTTTCTAGGATGGTCGCGTACCACCTACCATGTGCCAATGTACCACAGGTGGTACCCGTACCACTGGTTGAAAAGCCCTGAGTTACAGACCTGATCATTGTCCCAGAAAACCAAAGCAACCGAACACTTTTCCAATGGAGGCCTTGCCCGAAAGCAAAAACGGAGCGCGAGTCAAACAGGAAATAACTAACAGGCAAAAATAAACAGACCGTGATCTCTTGACTCTGAGGTTCTTGGCCAATGGTTGCCTCCAGCAACCAGCCCTGCCCACACGTTCCCTTTTTGTTACGCAGCCCTCAAGGCATGGCTTCTCACTGCTTTCTCCTCCTCCCCTGGAGTCGCCCCATTGCTTCTCTCTGTCCTACTCGTGTGACCTGTCTACATTTATGAGCGTCTCTGAGGTCTTCCAGCTGTGCTTCCTCCGAGTCCGATTCAGCTTCCCAGCACAGCTGGCTCTCAGCTTGATCACGAGCCTCTTCATTAGTTTGTAAGTCCTGCAGCTCATTTCCAGGCCCCTTCTCCTTCTCCTCCTCTGATTCCCCAGATTCAACTACCGGGATCACAGGCTGGCACGGAATCACAACACCTTCTTGGAACTGCTGAAAGGATTGTGTTGTGCCCCTGAGGGCAGAGATAAACCTCCAAGTGGCCTCAACGACTCTCAGAGGGAGTACTAACGACCAGATGACTGCAAGGAATATAAATCCTTCCATCCTCCACCGTTCGGCCAGAACTGAAGAAGCCTCTTGGATGAGAAGCGAAACGCCTTCAGGGAAAATCAAAGTCCAGTTGCCTTTTGGAGAAGCATCTTCGGGACAACCATGACCTGGATGACGTGGAAACTCCACAGACACACAAGAGGGAGAAAAATTACCATTTTCGGTGAGCAGTTTCGCTCGTTGGGTGTTCGTGTCATTGAGGGTCCGTTGCGTCTCCTCCAACTTGGCGCGGTGATCTGTAGACTGGTCCTCGATGGTGCGACACATCTTCTCCAAATTTGCCTGCCAGGAAATAGAAGAATTAAACCCGACGAAAACCTGGCAGAAGCTGTTCTGTCCCCGTCTGACACACACACCCAAACAGCCAGCCGAGGGTTAAATAACTTCTTCACACTCCACGCCACAGATAAGAACTTGGCAGCAGCTCCGTAACTGCCTGCCAAGAACTTTTACTCAGAGAACACAGAAACAAAAAACAATACACACAGTTTGAAATTCAATCCACAGCAAACTACTTCGCCAGAGATTTAGCTTTGTCCGTCACAGAGTCCAAATGGCCACCACCTCCCTTTTATAGCCTGTGGGGTGTGGTCCAGTGACTCAGCTTAAT